ATAAGAATGGAGATGAATCGTGGGTATTGTAAAGGAACAGGATGACAAGGCAGTGCTCGGCACATCCCCTAAATAGCAAACAGGCCCATGGCACCTATCACTATTCCTTAATTTTGTAGCTGTGCACACAAGCGCCTACACTCCCTCATTCACTGTAAGTAATGCACATCTCTGCCTGAAGCACGTGGGAGCCCCACCAGACTCTCCCAGGCAGCTTCGAGTCCACATGTCTGCATTATGCAAGCACCGTCCTCATCTCTCCCTGCAGGAAACCAAGCACCTGAATCGAGAGCAGCCTTTTCACTTTAACTTCTTGTTGCCTGGAGTTGGGATTTCCTGCAGAGCCACAATCGTGGAGCTGTGCTGCTGCAGAAAGGACTCTCCAGGCTGGCTGGTGACCAAGCTTCACCCTTTGCTACTTCGCCCTCATGATGAGAAAGACCAAGAGGACACATGTCAGATGAGGGCTTGTCACTAGGGAGCCTGAGGAGAGGGAGCGGTGCATGTGCATGGGGACGCTCTTTGGCACAGAGATCTGTGCAGCTGGGGTGACCGCTGTGGTGCTTAAAACAAAGGGGAATAGAGGCTGCCCAAAGAAATTCATATGACCTCATCTAGGGACACATCCAAAGCAATGAGGCTGCAACCACAAGTCTCTGGTTAACCCCTCTGCTGCTCTGTCAAGGTGAAAGGCACAGTCTGTGCTAAAAACATCACACTGCAAAGAGATGTTGTGCATCCCCATGGCTTCCAGCTGGACCAGAAGTGCTGCACTCACAACCTAGATCCCAGTATGGCAAAGGGAAACTAAAAAAGGATGCAGTAAAGGTTAGGATAATCTAAAGGTCTGGACCAAGCTTTACAGGAGGGGTTCCCAAACTCAGTTTACTGAGACACCATGATAACACAAAGGGCTATGCTGTGTGGTGGGGGTACCCGTGTCTGAACTGCAGGAGATGTGTGACAATTCTGGCAGCATTTCCCTGGGGGAAAAAACCCTCAAAATCCTAATGGTTTTTATAGCACTCTGAATTAGCTTATGTAACGGTAATCATGTACGCTCGACTAGGGAGCCCCTGGCTTTTGACATTTCTTTTGTTTAGTTCCACTATTCCAGTTAACCTGCAACCTCACATAAACCAATTTCTAAAGTTGTTCTCTTAAAGACTCCAGGCATAAAGAGGAAAGATGGTCCTCAGGGCAAGGTACTAAATCACGAGATGGAACCAGAAAGATCTATTGCCACAACTACTTTTAACTCACTGCATGAATTTGGAGCATCCCAAATTAGTCAACCCTGCTGAAATCCTGTTCACCCTGTTGAAGTGATGATGCCAATTTAAGCTATGCCCACAGCTATGTGTGTTCAGCAATTCCACCCACTGGCCACACATCTTTCCATTTCAGCGCCCATGGAGAAGGATCCCCAGATTCACAAGCAATGCAAAAGGTGCATCTTTTAGCTTCTCTGCTGCTCTGTTTCCCCCAGCTATGAAATGGGAACATCAATAACTATTAAAGGGAAAATGCAAGGCTTAACCAGGGAAAAGCAAAATAAGAGAAGAACTATCTGTGCATGTCTTGTTGAAATTTTCATGTAAGACTATATTCTCTCCACTTCTATTAATCCCAGCTACCAGCTCCTGCAGAGACATCCTGGGTACCCTGGGCAGCGTGGCAGTGCAGTGCCATGGTGGTTAATGGGGTCCTAGAGCCTGTGCCCCGAGCAGAAGCTCCCAGGCTCACACCACGACCAACACCTTTGAACCATCTCACTTGTCCACTCGCTGTGGCTTCTGGCCCCTCTGTGTACCACCGTCAACCTAAAGGATGGACAAGGGGCTCAAGCTGGCGCAAACACCAAACAGCCTGGCATGGAACTCCCTCCGCTTCATTCCCAAGAGAAGTGTTTAAACAGTATGAGACAAACTGCCCTGACGAAGGTTTCATGACATCAGTGAGTGCCCCTTTCTAATGCAACCCAGATAGCTGGCCTTGAGCTTCATACCTCTAAATTATGCCCTATGCTTCCAAAAAGCACTGAGACAACTTGCGGTTGATCTTTAGCCAACTGCTGATGATGCAGAAGTGGGGCCGCTAGTGCCCTGTCTTTTTTGGATGGAAAAGCTGTGCCTGCCCTGGACTGCAGCTGGCCCTGGCAGCATGCCCCTGCTCTGCTCGGGCCGGCTCCAGGCAGCCGTGCAGCCAGACAAAGGCTGAAACAGGAAAGCTGAGGCACCTGCTCCCCTCCTACCCCTTTGGGACCTCTCATGAACAAAGCACCTGACCCACAAATAGCACTGATCCTGGAGCAGTTCTGCTGCAACACAACTGGAAGGTATCCTCCTCCCTGCCTTCGCTACACAGAAAAAACATGCTGGTTTAGCTAAATCAGTAAACTCTACCTTTTTTTGGACCCTCCTGCATTATCCCCACCAGGCAAGTTCCTTCCTTCTAGCAGAAACTGAATTGTAGGCTGGAAACAAATCAAAGTACAGAGCACAGCTGGCTGCCCAAGAGGAATACGATGCCGATTTCTTCCACTCCAACTGCTCTGGGGCTGTTTTCTGGCTGGCTAGGGAACACATCACTGCTCTGGATGGCAAATGTCAGCAAATATTTCTCGCTTTCAAAGTCATCAGGTACATTTGTAGGAGAACAAAATGGGAGTAACTTCCCTTACACGATGTTCTTAACACTGAAAAAAAATTGCCCTAAGCTACCCACATCAGGCGATGGTGGCATTTTAGGGGCCACAATTCTGAACTCTGATGGAGCCTTTTACAAAGGGCTTCTTCCCACTCCTCCCCTCTTTCTCTGCCCATATTTAATTGCATGTTGAACAGAGCCTCCAAACCACTCACAAAACTCGACCTTATGGGTATGATCCCATATCCTAATTGAGGGGGGACAGTGCCAAGCCCCAGACATCCTTCTTGTCCTTCCAGTTCTTGAGCCCAGGTCCTCCCAGCTCCCACTATCAGGCTGCACCCCAGAATGGTGCTCCTGTCCACGGTGAGCCACAGGACCAAGCCAGCCCATAGCCAAGCTGCTGGCGGCGAGGACCAATACGACGAGCAATGCTGTGTAAAGAGGGAGCCAGCAGTGAGCCCAGCTCCACGTCTTCCACTGAATGGGCCCTGGTTAGGTTTAACTCGGCACCTCCAGGGTGCTGGACATCAGAAGTTGCTTCTGTACCAATAATTGTGGCATCTTTTCGTATAGCCAGAGCCCTGTTAAACTGAGATGCTCAAACACTATTTTAACCCAGTGTCTCCCTCTTTCCAGGGCATTCATCAGGTATGCATGATATGAACTCTGCTTTTGCAGCCAAAGAAAAACAAACTGAGACAAAGCATAGGATTCGCATATCCCTAAATGTAGCTACCTAAAGAAATTATGGTCCCTTATAATCCCATGGGGATATGGGCTCCTCTAAGAAGTTTATTCTTCCCATTCTAAAGTAAGTGCTCTCAGACACTTTCTGATAGCCTCCAGCTCTCTCCATTGAGCAGTCTCGATGAGTCCCACCTCACTGGCTTACCTGGGACTACGCAGCAGGCCTGTACAAAACAAAAAACACAGCTCTAAAGCTCTAGAATTGCTGCTCACTGAGCAATGCTGGATGCCAATGCCATATAACCACTTTCAAAGGGACAGGAAAGATTGAAAGGAGTCACAGAATAAGGTTTCCAAAAGAGTTCAACATCAGATCTCCAGGTTCCTACTGTCACTGCATGCCCCAAGGCAATATGTGGTGTGTGGATGACTATGCAGCTGTCCAGATCCCAAGAATTGGTGGCTATGGAAATGCATGTCATCCCTTTCTTTGTTTAGGGTGGCGAAGAGCCCAAAGCAACCCCCTTCTGCAATGCTTCACTTGCAACCACTGCTCAGTCATCCCAACCCCAATTTATCTTTTACAGGAACAAAAGCTTCTGGGTGCAAGGCCAGATGTGCAGAAAGGAAAATTTGGACCTGAAACAAGGGGAAATTAAGCTGCAGTTATATGGAGTCATAAATATTTACTGCAATGTAAACTGCAGCACTAAGCTGTTCATTTGATTTTACTTCAAAAAAAAATATTAAAATTTAAAAGGTCTCTCACCAGAAAAGTGGAAAAGTATATAATTAGAATCTAAAGAAAACAAGCTTGAACAAACACGCTGTGTCTTTCAATTTAGATTCTCTACACTCCAGTTACCTTTGGAGCTGCACCAATTCCCCTTTCTGTCCTCGGACATATATATATAAAAACATGTGGTGCCAGGGCTGAGACTGCAACTTTGTTTTTGCACATGCAGAAGATAAACATGCACTTCAGTTCAAAAGTACCAGCTTCTGCGCTGGTGGCCAAATTTTGAAACATCAGCTTTAAAACACAGCTCAATTCTTCTGGACCAAACGATCGCTGCCGCAAAGCTTTAGCAGCCAGACCAATACTGCGACTCCACGTTAGATTATCGCTCAATGCATTTTTCCTGCCATGTGACACCAGTTTGGGGTGCAGCGGCCTCCTCTGACCATATTTACACCCTCCCACCGATACATCACAACATTAGGTTGGAGATGGTGACAGTGCACGGCTGCGCATCTCCAGGTGCAGAGCAGCAAGCATCCCAGCAGCAGGACAGTGTCACAGCGTGCCAGACCCCTGTCACCCTCGTCTGTGCCATAACGCGAATACCTGTCCCTGTGCTTATCACTAGTGCTTGATGAGGGCCAGGCAGGCAGTGTCACAGCTCCCAGGGCATTTAAGCACATGCATAAGCGGATGTCTGTGACTAATCCCCATTCCCCATGTGCTGATGCCTTGATAGAGCGAAGCGCTGAAGTCACTGCTCCAGGAAGGCATCCCGAGGGTGGCTTTCTCCTCCCACCCACACAGAGGGAAAAGCTGAAAGCGACTGTTTTGATAAGTACATCTGGGAGCTGAGACAGGATATGAGGGCTGAGAAAATGAATTAAAATAGCAAATCAAGCCCGGAGGGAGCAACTGTGAGTGACAGAGAAACCAAGGGGACAGGAGCAGATGAAAGCCCTGAACCAAGCGTGGCTGGAGCAGGGTGTTGAGGAGGTGAGTGGGGTTCTTGGGGGGGACAGGCTGATTGCAGCAAGGAGCAGAAACAACTGTCAGCATCCCGGAGAAAATGAGGAGGCAATGCCAAGGAGTGGTCATACATCTCAGAGAAGGAAACATGAAGGAAGACTTCAACTGCAGCAAAGCACCTGCTAAGAAAGATGAACTTCTGTGATGTACAAAGGACCCCGATTCTGGAGACAGATGTTTCCACAGAGGTTTGAACTGTGGAGCAGCACAGGTCCCTCGGAGGGGCTAGCACAGCCAGCAAAAGGGGCCATCAAAAGGAAAAGCCCAGAAATGGGCTGCCTTAGCTTCCTTTTGAGTATTTTAGATGATAACAGTGAAGTTTTCTACTCACAGGGTGTAATTTGGGTCAGGCCAACACAGGTAAGCACCAGAGACGTGTCTCCATCCCTGGGCACTCCCAACCCATGTCACGCATATGCAAGCAGAGCGCACGGGCTCAGGTACTCACAAGCACCGAGACTTCTGCTACTGCTTTCCCGAGGCTGGAAAACACCTTTTTTGAGAACGAAACCCTCCCACCTGCTTCCTTCTGAATCAGAAACAGCTTCAGAAACATTAAGTTGCAATTAGGAGTGTAAATTTAGTCACAAGCACATATAATCCATAAATCTCCACATCCAATAAAAAATAATAGCTAAGGAGAGTACGAAAGAGCTGCTAATGACTAAAGCTATATTTCAACCTCAGGCAATTCCTGCTTTCTGTTGCCCTGTGTTAGATCCCTTGAATCGAGATGGGGCCTTCTAATTATTCTCTCTGGATCCATTATTCAGTGAGTAATTAATCTTTTATTTTACATTGCTCTCTCTTTCCATAGTTTGGGGGGTGTTAAATATACATATATACACACACACACTCTGCTCTCTTTTTTTATATATACTGCTCTCTCTCTACAGCATAGAGGGCTCTGCATTTATTAGCAGCCAGCTTTGCCTTTCAAACCATGGCCAGTGGACAAGAGGCAAGAGATGTGATTTCTGAGAGTTACTTCTTGCATTCTCTCAATTTTTTAAATTTTTTTTTTATTGGATGAGGAAATTTCAAAGAGAAATTCATGCAACTTACTTGGACTTGTCTGGTCACTGAGTCTCCGAAGTCTCCCACTGGAGGTCCGGCTGATTCCTAAAGCGAGAAGAAGGTTTGAAAGGATCAAGGGAGTTCATATGAATATGGTACGTGGAGCAATCTCCTCACTATGACTCTACATCTGGTGAGGCATGTTTTCTGTTGGGAATCTGCTATGCACAATCACCTCTGTGATCAAAGGAATGTTATATGTTATTTTAAACAGAAAAACACCTGAGAAGAGACCTCCACCTTTCCCTGAAGATGTCAAACATTATTATTCAAACATATCAAACCCATGAATGTATTTAGGGTTTCCAGAAACACCAGAGAGAACTTTTGAAATAATTAAGTGGGACACGCATGTTCACCTCTCGCTCCAGGATATTTTATCCTGGAGACAAGTGCAGCACTTCCAGAGACAGGTTTCCTTGCTGAGAGAGGAAAGCACAGGAATTTAGGGACCAGCACATGCCCTGCATTGGCAGAGAGCTCAAAGAGGCTCCTGCAAAGAGACCACTTCCCAGAGGTGCTTGGCTTCTCCAGCCAGCTCAGCTGGAAGGACAGCAGCGGCTCCTGCGTTCAGCATCACAGGAAAAAAAAGAAAGCAAAAGGTGACTACTTTCTGGCTAGATTGCAGTCACCGTCCTGGGAACACATTGTGTACGAGAATCCTGTCATGGGGTTAGACCAGCTGAAACACGGGATGCATTGCATGTTCCAAGCAGATGCTAAACCAGAACACAGCAATCCAGACGTTGGGCTAATTCTGCTCCATCTTTTTTAATGAGAAAGTATTAACCATGTGCTACCCCAATGAGTAAGATTAATTCATATGCACAGTGCTGGAGAAAGATATGTGGACATCTTAACCTACCCTACATCATACATTACTTGGAAAGACAAAACTCAGATGCACCTGTCTCCTCCATTCCCATACCCATTTCAGAAAGTAACCAGTAACTCCCAGGAGCCTGCCTGCCTCCCAGACTCCAGGCAAGCCATCGGGACCTGCTGGCTATGGCAACATTTCTAATTCATCAGCAACTCGTTTAATTTCTCTGCTGTTCCATCTGCCTGTTTGTGAAGTGGTGATTGCCACAACACTCATTTCCCAGAGATGCTGAAAAACTCAGCAAGAACCAGAATTCACCTTAACAAAGCCTTTGGTTAAAACCTAGCCATATGCAGAAACCATACACCAATTAGTGCCTCGGTTTCTCTTTTCTTAGCACAATAAAAGCAGGCACACTAAATACAATGAACTACCTCGGGGGGATGCTATACTCTGAAACTACCCCAAATGCCATGATGTCCTGATATGGGTATTCCCAGAAAGTCTGGCAGCTCCTCAGTTTCTGGTGGGTCCTGCCAGAGGAACAGCAGCTCCAGGATGGTGTCCATCATCTCAGACATCAGATGCTGGAGCTGTCAAGCTCCAGAATGGAGCCACGGAGGCTCCTCAGCTCAATACAAACCCCACCTGAGCACAACAGTATTTTGAAACAGGATTTCTACCCTGCAAATGGATAAGAAACTCCCAGATTTTGGGGGTGATGTTGTTGTTCAACTGTATTATTTTAACTATCTTCTCACCATCTACCAGATCTGTTGGACAATAAGCAAAGGGATTAAAACAGCACCGATTTAAGCTGCAGAACACCCCTAAACTGTGATTTGTAACATAGCCACAACCTTACAAACCTTGTCAGCTGGAAGAGTGCATCATACAAAAAAAAAAAAGGAAAATATATTAAAAAGCAGGAAAACTTTCATACCAATGAGCCTGGGATGGAGGGAGGGAAGGGAAAAGAGCTGCCTGGCAAATCAACATGGAAAAAGTGTCTCATGCTCAGAACCCTCTGCCTATATATATGAATGTGTGTGCATTTTCTGCCTCCCTTTCCTCTTCTAATATAAAAAGCCTCTGTGCCTACAACATTATGTGGCTGAACCACAGGGCCAGTCCCAGGGAAACAGCGGTGCTCCTGACCATGGCGGCACAGGGAGAACCCCCGGCCAGCACCACCCAGGGCCGCCCCCCCACTCTGCCCCCCCAAGAGCACCGCCAGCCAAAGGGCCAAAAATAGAGCTGGGACTGTCCACCCGTGTGTGTGAACACCCAGTCTGTCTTCTTGACAGCTTTATCTGCATTGCAATGGGGCAGACTGCTGCTACACACATCGCTCAGCATGCCGTTTCCATTACTGACGGCGAGAGAAGGGCTGAAGTTTCTAGGAGTTTGTGCATGATAACCAGGCATTATAAATTTTAAACATATTATTTTTTCTATTAAACCCAGTCCCTGATTTTTTTTCTTAATTATTTTCTCCTCTCTAAATGTCTACTGCTTCTTTGGACACTAGCAAGAATGAAAAGGCATTATTTCCTTCGGTCAACCGAGTTTTAAATAGTACTTCTTCAGACAAGCTGCAAGAGCACTCGAGTCCTGGCTCAGCTCCTTGCAGAGAACGGACACCTCTGCTTTGTCTGCATGCGGGCAAGGTGCGGTGTTGAAAACTGGCTTTCATAATTGCGCAAAAAACAGAGAAAAACGTCCCTTATGGGTGGCAAGCTGAAAAACGCAGATATGCAGCCATGCTGAGCTAGTTAAATACATCCTTTTATGTTCAAAGAGTTCATTCAGTCTGTGGCAAAGCAGGACGGAAGCAGAGCAAGGAGCTTACAAGCTTGGACAGGATCGCACATAGGAAATAGGCTTTATTCCCTTTAGCAACGACTCCAGTGGAAAAACACACATAGGACTTGGAGCATCCAATGCAGCACAGCCATCAGAGCATCCATGTGCCCTGGCTGAGCCTGTACCTTTTATGCAAACATCTCTGAGAATTTGCTTATCTGTCCTGACTCACAGGTTTTCTCTGGGGATCTGTAATGACTATTCATACCCTTTTTAAATAGGTAAACCCAAAGGTGGACAAGATGAATTCATTTGCTCTGTATTGGAGACAGCATTAGAAGGAAGCTTTTCTGACAGCTGTTGCTTCAACCTGTTAACAACATCAATAATATGTAATAGTGCTGTTAATCCCCTTTCAACAAAAGGGAAAATAAGGAGCAAATAAGAAATTCATACAGGCTAACACCTTAACAGCAAATCTGGAAAGAGGAGGGAGTGCTATGGAGCCCAAGCCAAGCTTGCTATCTGTGATGTCCCACTGCCCCTCCACCGAGGGAGGACCTAGACACAGTCCTGGAAAGCAGATAAACAGCAGGCAAAGCTGGCAGCCTGGCAAGGCAAGAAGAGAAGATCTGGAGAGAGAGAGAGAAAGAGAGAGCACAACAGCTAAAAATATGCTGCTCTGAACACACTGCCAGGAAGCCGGCACTGTGGGCAGGACCGGAGAGCATCGGCATGCTGAGCGCATTCTGGGGTTACCTCTATTTATAGCGTGGAAGCAGCAGACTGAGCCCCGGGTTTGGGCTGTGAAATGAAAATCAAAGGTTTCCACCCCAGACACAGTGTCTATGAGTCTTCCCTCTTAACGCAGTTCAAATGCCCTCAAGCCATGCTATGATTTTATTGTAGTGCACTGGACTAAGAAACAGAATGAAATACGCTTCATTTAGCTGAAATTAAGAATGCTTCCCCACGTCCCCAGCAGAATGACTTCAAAATGGAAGAGTCCAACAGTTAAAATCGGCCAATCCCAAGTTCACTCAACCCAGCGGATGTGCCGCAGCAGGACAAAGTTATAACATTTGCAGAGCTTAACCTCACCTTGGCTCACTGGCTGAGCAGTATTTTTTTCACGTTTTATAATCAATGACTAATTCCCTCCAGATCCACAGGCTGGGACCATATGGCGCAGCAGAAAGGCAGCGGCACCGGAGGACACTGGGCTTCACTGGGGTCTCCTTCGCAACTACTGAAGCCAAGAATCGCTCCAACTGGGTTGTGTCAGTGCAAGCGAGATCCCAGCCAGGCTACGTTTAAATCACTCCCTCCAGACAATATTGGGCCAAATGTTCTACTATTTCATGCTTCTTGCAGCTGCTGATATAACACACCATGGATGCAAAGCATTCCAGTATTGAAAGAGGAGCATCTTATGGATACTTGCCCTGACACAGACGATGTCTGACTTTGCTGAATCTGAACCTAGAGCTAACAAGGGAGCTGCCAGAGATGTTCACCTCCAATACAGTCAACACGTACTTTCTCCAAAACCCATCAGAGTTTTTGCATGATACACCCCAAACTTTTTCTGGATGCGTATAATAGTAACAAGACAGGCCACCTGAGAATTATTTTTTCCTCACAGTAAATGATCCATGCCACTGCACTCATACGATGTAAAAATCAAAAGAACAAATGAGCAATTTCCATTATCAATAGAAACCACAGGGTGAAGACAAACAATGGAGGATGTAACCCAGGAACTTGCTCTCTCTACACAGTCCAGTAAAAACAAAAAACCAACCAAACAAAAGAACCCAAACCAAACAAAGGTCATGTCAGAAAGGGACAGGCCAAAACCAGCAGGAGACATCTCATGCTGTGCTGGAGTCAGCAAAGCAGCATCAGCTCATCTGAGCAGCCCTTGCTTCTGTTAAATGTATTTACTAGTGAGTCTGAGATCAGATAATTCAGCTTCCTTCTTCACCCAGCACAAACACGGCAGGGTGTCCAGACAGCACTGGAGATGTCTCCATCCAAGACCAGTTTCCTCCTACAGGCATTTCTGCACTCCCAGCTCTCCAGAGCTCTCTCCTGGGGCGTACAGGTCTGGGCCAAGTCACGGAGCCATCCCAGGACTTCGACAACTTTAGCACTAGGGTGGTGGGAGAACCCTCAGCTGAACCACACTTCAGAGGTGCCTGCAGCACCTACACAACACCGGCAGTTTTTAAAGTAAAGGCCGACATTTAGACTTGGCTCCCTCCAGGGCAGGATCTGCACCAGCCTGTGCACTGCAGAGGCACCCAGCCCCAACTCCTCTAATCCGTCCTCCCCTTTGCCATCTCCCCAGGCCATCCTGCTGTCGGCTAGGGAGCATGGAAGATGACAGCAAGGATGTCACTTCATTTGCTCTGCAGCGGATGCAGAGCTGGCACAGGTACCAGTGCAGACTGCTGGGACAGAGTTTTCCACTCCCTTTTAGGATGTGTCTATCCATCGCAACACTCTTAGACCAGCTGTTCAGGACCATACAGGGTGTGAGATCTATTTTCTTTTATCTAATTCACAGGTACTATCTAGACAGCAGGAAAGAGAATTGCCTTCACCAGCAATATAGTATCACACCAGCAGCTATACTTCATCCCGCTTCACTTAGACAAGTTCTAAAAGCTCCTTAGATAAAAATGGCTGGAGAAGACTTCATCAGTAACGAGGCCTGGAGCTGTTAACAGAAGGAGGATAACCCACACATGGTCTGATCCACAGAATCACCACCTCAGTGGTTTCTCCAATATACCAGAGCAGCTGCTGGAGATTGAGCTGCAAAGTTTTAATGCTGACACAGGACATCACATTCAGAGGTAGAGCCCTGCACATGGAGCTGTGGGTGTCACTGGAGACAGCTGGGGACAGAAGGGCTCAGGGGGAGCTGAGGACTGTAAGGAAGAGACATCTGTTTGCAGAGTAGCAAAGGAAGAAGAATCTCTATTGCTTCAACCCCAAGTCCAATGAACCACACAATTACAACTTCACTTCCATTAACTTGAAATCCACTTGCAACATTAACCTCAAAAGGAATATGTTTAAAAAAAAAGAAAATATTCATGTTCATTTCCAGCACTAATCAGAAACATGCGCTGAAGAATAAAAGACACTTTTCCAGATTCTGTGTAATAGAGACTCTTTACAAAGAAGCTGAGCACAGCTAGAAGAAAAACCTTCAACCCATGTGCATGGTTTCATTCTGGATCAAATAACTCTGGCAGCAAACCAAGCTTTCACTGGGATGGAGGGATGCTGATGGAATGGAGGGATGCTGTTCCCATGGGGCACCAATTACAGACTCAGGAGCGGACCACTACCTTCTCCAACACAGCTACCACCACGTGGGTACGCCAACAAGCTGGATGTGTCTAGGTCAAAGGCTAGAGCAGAGACCATGCAGCCTAAAATACCACCAACCGTTTCCCTCGTGGGAGCTGGATATCATCAGGCTGGGACCAGACAACACTGCTAATCAGCACAGCACTACTAATACAAGTGGAGCCATGAGTTCACACATAGAAAGAATCCAGCCCGAGGCTGGATTACAGATAACCCTCAAGGAAACCACAGGAAAATTGGCATTAGTAAGATGCATATATTCCTACCACAATGTTATACTTCTGGCAGGTGCCAAATACATTCTAACACTAAAAAAATGCTCCAAAAGCTTGTGCTAACGATAAGAGGCAGTAAGAAATAAGCCTCAATTTTTGCAGCATTAGAAAGGCTTCCCCAAGACCAGCAGTGGCCTGCCCAGAGCTCCTGGGCTAAATTAGGTAGAAGGGCCAAGCTTGCACATCGTGGTAGAAGATGACAGGGACCCAGCACTTGAACCTTGGCTCAAGTTCAGGCTTTGATTCAAGATTTTAACTCTAATTAAACTGCAGTAATTCTCGGGAAATCAGTTGATGCATCCATAGAGCTCATGGCCAGAAAATTGCCTTGACTGACCTGCAAAACCCACACACTTTTTTATCCAGTCTTGGTGAATTCAAGCTCATGCTTGAATGAAGTTTTGGCTTTTCAGAGACATACAGTCTCAACGTCAAGATTAAAACATTAGAGTGACCCCAAGTGCTTTGACAAGTTGCTCAATAGTTAAAATGGCCTTCAAACAGCACAGAGACCATGCCTCTTCCCTGTGTGTTTATTCTGAGGTGAGCAAACTCAATCCTGAGATATTCACTTGAAAGAAATAACAAGATCATTTCACTGCTCTTTGTGATAATCTGTTCTTTACTGCCCACAAATTCCTCACAGCCAATAGTCATTCAGAGATACACTGGACAATCATGAAAGCACAAAAAAAAATAGCACAAGCAGTTTTTCATATGAAAAAGCATGTTAGTCATCATCTGTGATCCTTCTGGTTAGAGTGTTTCAGTAATCTGGCCGGACAGCAGAAGGGATGCCACGTCACCACACTGACACATCAGATGACTTGTACAAATGCATATTTATAATGCAAGTATCCACACAAATTGGAAGGGACTGGAAAAATGGGTCTTTTGTATGTATTGTCAGTTTTGCTGGTTTATGTGATTCTTTTACTTAGCAGCAGGAGGGAAGGGGAAAGGATTTATAAAGGAACAGAAAACTGTTCTTGTGAAGCTGTACCAATTGGGAACGGACCTGGTAACTACTGTCAAGTCTAAAATCACTTCCAGTTCACTGTTGAAGCTAACCAGATTTCCAAAGAAATCTTGTCCCTCTAAATTTACCATCTTCACCACACTCCTCATTTGCTCATACTCCTTAGCTTCTGAAATCCACAAGAGAGAAGCAGGACCCAAGAACTACAACAGTGTCCTCATGGCTTTTTCACTAAATGAGGGGGTTTTGCAAGAATACGTCCCAGAGCTTGCAAAGCCATCGCTGAGAGCAGCTTGGATCTGGTCCCATTTGTTTCTGCAGAACCTGCAGCATCCCAACAGAGATGGGAAGGAGGAAAGGCATCTGAACTCAAAGCTGCAGCCTTGCTCAGAGAAGGAAATAATCAAGCTCTTACATTAACCAGCTGCCGCAAGAGCTTCAGCAAGCTAGAAACGTGTTAGTTAATCCTTAACATTAATAGCACAAGAGTCACCAGGAACCTGAATGGACAAGAGATAAGGCTTAACACGCAGAGCACTATGCAAACAAAGAACAAACTAAATGATCACTGCTCATCCTTTGCCTTCAAAAAAAAAAAACCAACCCAAACATTTACAGCATCCAGACTCACGAGTGCACCTAATTTTCTCAGGTTTGTCTGGCAATGGCCATGGATTAGTTGGAGAAAATCACTGTCAGATTTGAAGGAGGGGAAAGGAATTTTAAAACTGCAATGTGGTATTTCCATATGGATCAAATACTCCCAAGCCACCCCACAGCTCTCCTCCCCACTCCCTGCAGGCCCATAACGCTCTGGCTCTGACCACACAGGAGAACTCCTGGTGCAAAATTCCCAGCCCAGCATCTGGCTCTCTGCTGCACTCTGATACCGTACACAGCTTTAGCGCACTAAGCAGCAATGTGTTACTTCAGATTAAAAACAAAAAAAATCAAATCATCCTTACTTAGATTTTAAATCAATTTCTTGTCACCTTCTTGCAACTTCAGTGCAATCCAAATTTTACTTTTCAGCCACAGCATTTGCTCAGTGACCGCTCACTGCATCCCTGCTCTTGTTTCAGACACACAGAACTCCCAAACTTGTTTCAGAGGGTCCCCCCACAACAAACATCACTGGATTCATCATTGGAGCCCTGCAAGCCTGGGGCTGCCATCAGGATGTAATACAGACCCCTTCTGTTTGCCAGGCTCTGAAAGGCAAATGTTGATTTTTCCCAGAGAGGGATGGGGGTGTATAAAGGAGAAAAGCCGAGAACAAAGAGGCAGCGGCTCCCTCGCCAAAGGGCTGCAGACGACAAAGGGCAGAGGTTAAGGGTTCTCATGAGCCTGGGTGACCCACCAGGGTGACCCACTGGGATGACCCACCAGGGTGACCCACTGGGATGACCCACCAGGCAGCCTGGCAGAGGCATGCCAGCACCTGTAGCTAACAGGACACCGAGAGCAGACCCAGCCACTTCAGACTCCCCAGCCTTAGTGAGCAACTCCTCATTCACAGCTGGAGGAGATAAGGGGCAGCCTTTGGTTTTGAGACCATTTGTCTGACTCTGAAGACACTGCAAAGGGAAAAACTCAGCCAGGGATTTTACTTAGATGCTAACAGGCAAGTCCAAGTGTCACTCCAGACTTGTGACAAAGTGCCCTTTTCCTCCACGCAGTACGAGAGATGCTCCACTGCAGCCATGTAACGTCTGGACGAAGGAACCAATGACAGGTAAAGCAGCAGCCGAGGCACCACGGTCACTAAATCCCAGTCCCTCCCTAGCCAGAAACTCAGTCAAATACACAAGGTCAAGATTCACAAACTGTCTGACCACTTGATTGAGAACAGGTAATCTTGAAAAAGCATTAAGCTCAAGCAGACAATGGTCACTTTTCTCTCTGCATCAAACACCCACACAAATGTACTCTGGGGTACAAACGCTACCTGAAGCCCTTTCACCTGAGCATCCCTAGTGTAGTAGCAGCCAAATCATGCACACTTTGCAGTCATGTGTTCATGCAACAATGAGTCTGGATCACTTTGGTAAGTCCCCTGCGATACTCTGATATTATGCAGAACTGCCTGAGAGTCAGAAAGCCCAAAATCCAAGCTGTGGTTCAGAAACCAGCTCCCTGGATAACCCTACATAAGAAATTTAAGCTCAGAATTGCAGCTGCTCCCTTGGGACATCAAACGTCCACATTCTAACATTTATCTTTAAACCCAACTCCAGTCACATCTTGATTCTCTGCTCATTTGAGGCTAACCTGCCCTAGGGAGATGCTGAGGTAGGCAGCCAGGGAGGACCAGCTCGGCTGCAGGGGGAAAGCCGTCTGCAGACAGAAGAGTCAGGAACCAGTCAGCTGCCACCACAGCTCTACCATGACTTGCTGCACATAACTTTCCTTCTCCACATATCCTTTTCTCTGCCTGTAAAAGGAGGTGTCAAACACTTCCCCTGCTTATAGGAGCAGGAGGGATATATAATTTAACGTTTTTACATTTTAACTGTACTGTAAAGAATGATTCAGACACTATCTATAGATTACTGAGATAATGTCCGCTGTCAGGGAAGAAGGGAAGTTACAATCTGAGACTACAATGAAGCCCTGGACCCATACAATTGAGAGTTTTCTCCTATTAAGTCTGCCCCAGAAGTAGCCAAGGCAATCCCATTTCATAAGCTAGTAACATTCTTTGAATGTTTTTCCTTGTATCTTACAATTATATTTAATAGAGGCTGCAGCGGGGAAATTGGAATAGAAGAGAACTTCAGCCAATTTTTAGGACTTACTTGAGTGCCTAATGTTGCAGATCAGCTTACGCTACAGTTTGCAAAAGTGCCTTTACAAACTGTAGTATAACTCCATCTCTATCTTAAGAGATGCTGCACTTATAGTTCTCTCCTCCAAGTCAGACACCCACAGAAAGACCAACCACAGTCCCAAAGTCAGCTACATGAGCGGCTTAAGACTGTAACTGTGAGGGGTCAGCAGCCAACACTGAGATTAAATTTGCTGTGGGCTCCCCCCCAGTCTCTCTCACGTGAAGCATTTAAAGGCATTTAATGGAGGAGTAGGTCCTCAGAAATACCCATTGCCCATGCCGATCCCCAGAATATGTCTGTTGTGTCCTGCTGCTGGACATCAGAGAAGTAAGGTACCCAGCACAAAAGCACTAAATTAATTTAAAAACAAGATGTAGAATAAATACGTAAGTGCCAATATCTTATTGGCTTATCTTTTTAAATTTTTGCACGGGACAAAATAATTCTAGACCCAACACCTACCTTTCTGCCAAGCCATACTCTCCCACAGTCAGCTCTACAGAGGGCCACAGCAGGAAAATTAAGAATAGGTTCATTTAAATAAACCCCAGCTGTAGGAACCACCTCTGCTTGATATCACTCCGTGATTACACACTCTTCTCCCCAGGTACCAAGCGGTCCCAATGCAACTCGTTCCTCTAATGGGTTTCGGCAGCTGCCAGCAAGGGAAAGGTAAAGCACCTGGCACCACCAAGCAGCTCAGCCCTGGCAAAACGCAGAGTGAAATCACTCCTGGCACAGGTGAAAACCATTTCAAGTCATGGAGCACTGCCTGCAGCCTCTAAGGAAGCTTTTCTCTCTTCAAAGAGGGCTCACACAAGGAGACACAAAGCCTATTCTGTAGGTCCGGCTGAAAGGCAGCATTGTACGTGGAACATGGCACGCTCGGTGTAACGCAGCCGGGCAGCAGAGGTCTGGGCCCCATCCAGAACCCCTCCCTGAGTCACTCACCCCAATGATACAAAGGTTCAGCTTCCACTATGAAAACCATTGCAACAAAAAGGCAATTGCTGCTTTTTCTGTAACAAATACGCCCCTATGCACAGGACTGAGATCTGCTTTGTGCCAGCATGGATTCTCCCTGGAAAGCTCAGCCTGCAACTATTGAGTAACCCAAACCTCCATGCATGGACCCTGGCACCGCCAAAACCTTGTGCTGTGCTAAGCAAGTATTCCCAACACGGTGAAGCTTATGGACTTGCACCTTATGCCATAAGTGATGAACCACAGTGCATGTGACCTGCCACAGTGTATGCACAAGCTGCTGCCAGCCAAACCTGAAAGGTTTTTCTCGGTCTGGAGGCTGAGGTCCCTTCTGATGACCTCTACACCACGGTCAGAGTTCATTACACAAGCTGACCTTTCACAAATGGCATCTTTTGCAGTCAGAGGACTCCAACCCCTCATGTCCAGAGAAGACCCATGGCACTGCCATGTTCCTCTAGCCCAAACCTGCCCCGACCTTTTGCATCCCCTGTGGGGTCATCATCCAGGCAGGAACCTCCCTCCCCTGTCCAGAGCTGCAGGATCAACAAGGGGCCAAGGGAGGATGCTCTGGGGGGTGTCAAAATTCCAGCCTTATCTCCAGAGGCTGAGATCATGGGTAGAAAATGTTTCTGTGTTGTCTCAGCAAGCTTCCTGCTGGCACCCCTCTTCCTCTCCACAAAACCACCTCTTTGTGAACAGTTTTGGAGCCCGAGAACAACATTCACTGGTACAGACTAAAGGTATTTACCATTTCTGAGACATCAGATCTGTAATAGTGCCTGTCCTTAGCATGACCCAGTTGTTCCTCAGTCAGGTCTCTCCTGAGCAGGTCAGGGGATGCATGGAGGGATGCTGGCACTTCTTTCGAAAACTGCTGGTACACAAAGCAGTCACTTGCTGCACTGCTGAAGGCTGGTGGCCACATGCTTTAATGTCTGTGAAGGAAGGATGCCCACTACTTAGGATCATAACCAGAGGTCTCCAACGGCTTAGGTTTGACTCCTCACTCACCCACAGATACCTGGGAGCCTCATGGCAGTACCAGCCTGAGCGTTCGCATATTAAACATCTGCACAGGAACCCCAGACGCCCTCCATAGTCAACAGAGGAGACAGGCTCTGCAGCCAGTGAGTCACCCCCATCCCAAGATGGAGGTGGAAGATAGGGTGATTCATCTGACAGCCCCTGGCTGGAGAAAGGCTGCAGGGACCAGCTCTGATTCAGAGATGCTTTTAGATGGCTCAACTCAGGCAAAATTAAATTCTACCTTGTTTTTTTCTGGGCCTCGGTCCTCTGTAATACAGGATATTAGCTCTCTCCTAGCTTTAAGATCAATGTCTGAAAGGCTGAAGACACTTACAAGAATAGGAAGCACTTTGGTTATCTGCACAGTCATTACACAAGGAGCAGGAAGCAGGATATCTGATTATGTCCCAACCTGGCCACACAAACCAAATGAAGCAGCTTGTTTCTCTGCAGCTCAGCTTCCTTGGCAATCAAGTGGCATAAGCATAGGTCTTTCACAGAGAATTTCCCATGGACACTTGGAAAGGCTTTGGGAGCACAGGAGAAAAGGCCATGTTTATCCACAAAGTACCTCCCCTGGAGGAGCCCGAAGCCCCTCTGTAGGGTTCTGCCCTGGTGATACAGGCACAGAGTGAGGCCACTGCCAGGTAGACCCATGCTCCAGGAGAAGGTGAGAAACAGCC